TTGCATTACCGTACATCAAGACATAACACTTACCCACGTTGCTAAATGCAGCAAGTGAGACGACCTGGTTGGTGACATCATGCGCCGGTTGATGTGGCATGACAGTAGTGTTATTTGTCGGAATCATGGCTTTACTTGGACTGGGATACTGCCAGTGCGCCCAGAACTAGACAAGAGGACGATTAGGGTCCTCGACCAGATCTCTCGACTGAGAAATCTGGCCTCAAGGCAGCATCGTTCGGCGGGTAATGCCGATGTGCTACATTGTGTAGAGAAAAGCTGGCCACACATGTTCCATTGTTGTATTTGTATTGTAGTTATTGCCAAGATAATGAAGGCGTGCGCAGCGTTCGCCAGCTTTCTTCATTCTATCTCCGAAAACGCATTTCATCGAAAATAATGAGCCGTGATCCAAGGCAAGCAGTCTGAATCTGATGTTGTGAAATTCGGCACCTATGATACGAAAACTTTGTCCGTCTTCGAGCGTTTGATGTGGAATAGGGAGAGGTAGCTGGCTTCCGAGAGCACGTAACCAGTTGACGCTTTGACAGGTACTTGGTAATGACCCCGAATCGTTAGGACAGCAGATTAAACTTACCACGTTGAGGCCGTTTTGTTGGGTTGGGCGTACACCCACCATCGTCAACCAAAAAACGTTATTTTTTGTTTCGAGCATTCGTAGGCGATGTTACCATCATCATCGACAGCATGACATCAGTATTCAACACCGATGCTTCACTGCCGCAGAGCCATGATTTATTTGAAAGCCTTATTTTAAAGAGGAGAATAAATTTGGACGAGGAACGGACTTACTGCTAGCTTACAATGATCACTTCGAAGTTCCTACACCTCCAAACACTCATTCAGGCAATCTAGATAGAAACTGACAACAAGATCGCCACTGACATCGGTTGGCAGCCATATATTGTAGTGTCTCCATAGTAGTCTCTTTCGTACCCCTCTGCCAAGTCAAGGGTTGGCCACCTCTTTGTTTACGCCACTCCGAATTGAGCATGGAAAACAACACTCTTAGGCAAACGATGGTTCGATATACGCTACAAATGTCTCAACCAACGCAGCTTCTGGTGCTGGACATATTCTTCAATGGAAGTACCCGTTGCACAACCGAAAACTCGCTTTCTACTTGCCTCGTTACTGATATGCCGACACCAACTCACGCGAGCTATGGTTCTGAGATAACGATTGTCGAACACCTGAAGACGTCTCTGTTCCGCCGCCCGAATAGGCCAAGTCTCAACCATACAACAAAACACCCCCGACTGTAGCTTGATACACACGTCCCTTGAGATTCAGGGATAAACCACCCTGATGCCATAGGTGTCTCAAATAAGCAAATGCGACGCAGGCCATGCAGATTCATGCATTGATCTCATCTGTCACACTATAATCAGAACTAATACAACTTGCAAGATACGAAAACGCTCCACAACTTCCAGTACCCCTCCATGGATTTTAAGTAGCGCGTTCGGTGAGTGCACATCCTCGTTCATGACCTTAGACTTTTTGGGTGCAAAGTGCATACCTAGGGACGGGGTGACTTTGGTCAGTCCATTGAAAAACACCTGCACCTTCTCCTCCAGATCGACAAGGTTTTCTTCACAGGCTACTTAATTATCAGGGTTTCGGAGAAATTCCAGCGTTCGTCTCTTTATCTCACCGATCACGAAGTTAAAAAATGAATGGAGAGTGGGCATCCCTGACGGACACTGCTTCGCGTACGGAAGCTTTTGGAGAGTTCTCCGTACACTCACACGTCCGGAAATCTGAGAATACGAAGAACTTATTATGTTCACAAACCTTCGGGGCATTTTTGGTGGGCAAGCATATCAAGAAGACCAGACAGGTAAACTGAGTCAAATGCGCCTTGGAAATCCAGGAACGCTAGAATTGTGGGTCGCTTATACGTATGACGTTCTAGCACCCGACAGTGTGAAGATTTGGTCAACGCGACCCCTACCAGGCCGGAATTCCGCTTGCTGCTCTCGAGTCAGTATCTCACAAGCCACCGTAAGGCGACGAAGCACAAGTGACGCAAGTGACCGGGTTCAAGCTGATCCTCCTGTGGTTACTGTACTCACTGTGAGCCCCTTTTCTGAAAATGGGCACTCTCACCGACTCTTTGGTTGTCTGTAACAGACTGCTTTTCCCAAATGCAAGCAAACAGATCATACAAGTGTTGACTGAGGATTTGACCCCCGTCTTTGAACAATGCGGGTGGGAGGTCACCGGACCAGGAGCTCCCTGGCGCATGAGAGAACGTATATAGTCGTAAACCTCCGAGGCCGTAGGTGGTTCCTCGTTCACTATCAAGGGTTCCACCTCACCCGTGGGCCCTAGACGAATGCCAATTGGTGGCCGATGTATTCAGCCCACCGGTCGAGGTTTTCCTCTTTATTTGAGATATTCACTCCAGTCCGATCTTTGATGGTTTCGCTCACAGGTGGTTTGCGGCGACCTGTCAACTGAATAATCTTTGGGCATTACAGAGTTTCTGGGCTTCTTCCGTTTTTTCGACTTTGCGTGTTCACCATACTTCACGGTCGGCTCACACGTCTGGAAATTCGTCGAATCGGGTTATACCCAGGGCCGGCTGGAATATTTCTCCGAGATTTTAGCAGTGTCACCGTTCGGTCTTATATGCAGTGCTCGCGTGCGCTTGGTGGTGCCGTACCACAGGCGAAATTCCCAGCAAAGAGGTTGCAATCTCGTCTCAGTATGCGTTCACATCTGATGGTGGAACATTTGGAAGAAACTCTAGAGGACGATTCTGGTAAATTCGTCTAACATTCGGATCTTCCAGTCTCACTTGCCAAGCGATTTGTCCGCATCTTACAAAGCCCAGGGAAACGTAGGGGGAGGCGACTCAGGACAAGTGCGTAGTCAGAATCCACAAATGTGTTCCAAAACAACCGGCAATCCGTTATTGATTCGCACCATCGGTAGCTAATGGCAACGTAGTTGATTTGAGTTTTCGGCTGGTGTACCGTCTGAGGACATCATGTGGCCAGACGACTCCGGCCAGTTCGGAAGTTAGTACCGCATAAAAGCAGCCTCCAATCAGCACACAGCTGAAGCAATCGTTCACCAGTGTCCGTACGTACCGTGTCCATTCCATGTTGACCTAATTGAGTCTCAGATACACTAAGCCTGCCCACTTGTGCATTCATATCTCCGTCAATCACCATAATGTCTGAGCTTTTAGCTCGCCGCAGCAGGGCATTCAGGGTGCCGTAAAACCTGTATTTGTCGGCGTCGGAGCTACAGTTAGTTGGGGCGTAAGCAGATATGATAAACAGACATCTATCAACTTCCCGCTTTATGACTCCTTCACAGACTTTACCAGACGAACCGCACAGATGCGACTATCCATAGGTATCCAGTCAAGTGAAGATAATTCCGCCCGGTGACTTAGCACGATACCAACACCTGCACATCCCTCCGCAGCAGCCTTTGGATCATCAGCCGGAAGCGAGTGAAGACTGACGGAGCGGCTAGGTCAGTCGCTGTGCTTGCATATAGAATTCTCGTTTCCGAGACATGGCACACATCAATGCCAAGCGAGTCCAGTGTGAGTGCAAAAGCAGCTTGTCCTGCTCGCTTCAGAGTGCGGACATTGAAGGCGGCCAGATAGACTGGGTGTCGAGGCTTGAATATTTATTTGGAGATGCCTGAGGATGTCGGCGCAAATGCTGCACGGAAAACCTATGCATGACGAACGGCGTCATCAATCCTAAGTGCTGGGCCTACAGCGAGAGAGTTATTAATGGGGCGGGGAGAGATGGAAGAAAAAGTATGTGAAAGAGACAGAAGGGAGTTGTCAGCAGTAGCCTGTTTTCGCTTGCCCTCCCTGTTGTATGCAGCAGGTAAGACGGCTGATGGCACCACGTGACGGCCCGTGTGGCGTGATAGTATTGTTAGTTGTAAATGTCGTGGTTGCCAGACAATGATACGGTGACGTGAAATGAAGGCGATTCCAGTCAAGTTGAATGCCTTGGATCTTTTGCACCTTCCTGACTGGAGCCCACGTGCTCCTGCTTGCAGATGTTTGGAAACCCTGCAGTGCAGCCTAGCTAAAGTTCACCTGCCGTTGTGCGCTGGGCTCAAGGCGGGTGAAGCTCGCGAAGCACTCCGGATCAATCCTACTGATGGCACCTCACTTCCATATGATGCTCAGAAGTGTCTAGTTTAACGCCGCCGAAAGATGTAGGCATCTTATCCTTAACCTTCTTACTCAAGGATATACGACTTCTTCACACCAAATTCCTGTCCTTCACTTTTTTCCTTTTTACTATAATCCACTTCTCTCCTGGTTGTTTGTCAGCTATACGCCAATGGGTTTTACTGGTGTATTGCGGTTGATGATGATGATGATGGTGAGGCGTCGTCAGTGCGCTCAGTACCCAGTTATCTCCCTCACGAAACATCGGTTGTATCAATGCGGCAGGTCCCAACATCTCTGTCATCCCCTAGTGAGTCCCCATTTTGCCCAAATGAGTGTCTTATTAAGTAGTAGTTCTGCGGAGTGACACCGCGTGTTTTTTATTGGGATCTACCAGGCGAATACAGCAGAATTACTTGTCTTAGGAGTACCCGCTTGACTATACTCATGGAGTCAAAATTGCCAACATCTCTCTCGTATGGAGCGAAACTAGACATAATCTTAATGACATGGGTTACCGCTGATAGTTTTTATGTCCTCATACCACCTATCCCGTCTGTCTTTATTACTTGCGGTCCAGTCAGTTTACCGGAGTGTATACATTTATCACTATTACAGCAAGATGGCGACACAATGACCTTGTTGACCAGTTTTCTACGCAAAAACTGCCTGAATTTCGAGGTAGTGCAGTTATCCGATTGTCCGGTAGTAATTGATGGAGCGGATTTTCTCAGTTTCTTCCATGCGCGGATTGACTTCCTTGAAGGGGATTATCTTTCCTTTGTTCTCGGTCTGTCGAAGATACTGAAAAATATCCAGAAATGTAAACTTGAGCCAATTTTCGTCGTCGATAACGATCTGGAACCCAAAGTGAGTGCGAACAATCGGTTTCTAGGACTTTGCGGATAGTTTGTCACGGTAGAATGGATGTTTTCTGTTTGATGTGTCACTGATAGTTTTTTATTCGGCCTGCGTTCACGCTCCCATCAGAATGACACGAAACCATGAAATAGTCTGTCGCTTGTAAGGCATACAGATGCGACCTTTGGGACTGCAGCTTGTCGTGATGTGACAGTTTGTGTTTCTACGTGACCTGTTGAGCTATACTTCGGGTGTTCGTGCAAACAGAGTCTGTCGTACCATGTCAATGGTCAGAGGTCTGGATAACACAGTCTCTTGGGCCTCCGGGTTGGGGGTTTGAATATGTGTGGTGGTTTGTTCTATAAAAGTTGTAATGTACCTGCGTTTCCCACCAAACATCGCTGCCTGGCGGTCAGGCTTTTGAGCCACAGGCTTTGGTCGAGAACTCTGACCGTCCCCCTGTCTAGGTATGGTCCCCTGGAAGTATTCAAGCTCACATACAGCTGATTCAACCGCATGGTAGATTAGAATTGCTCAGCTTTTGCACATGTTTTACTCGAAATTGTTCTTCAAATTCGATGAGGCAATGCCATCATGTCATTGTCGGCATAGTTGGTGAACCATCTTCGGCTATCCGCTTTCATTCGGTATTTTGTCCTTAGAATTGTAACAAGTTTTAAGTCAATGGAGAATTAGCCCCGTGCTCTATGGAGGTGTTAAAATGCCATCAGAAAATCGCCTATAACCGCATCCCTTAAAAACACGCCACATAGATTCTCGAATCCAATCCATGGTATACAATAAATAGATCCACGGACAGCTGCGCGAATGGTTTGGCTTACCGCTATGATGCTCTTATATAATTATCCTCACTAATTAGGACCACTCGTTTGTGAAACCGCAGAAAGTCGGAGTTTTGGGAAAAGCTCCATGAGTCTATTTGAAGATAGTACATTTGCATCATCATGAGTTTGTATCTAATTGAAATTGTTACAGGCTTTAATTGGGGAAAAGAGCAGGCGTGTCTAGTTCCAGTCACTTGTGTTTGGACAGTGTAAATGGTGTGATGATGGAACCGACACGTTGCCTACTGGTTGAATCTCATGCACTGGAATATTGTTACTATCACGCCAGCGTTGCAAATGTTTGTGGCCAGTTTTGCCGTAATCAGTCTCAGAACAGCGTCTGGGTGGTGGAAAGTGACCTTGGTCGAATTAAACCTAATTGTATGTACAACCGCTCTGGCGCACCCAGCTCGCACAATGTGATTTGTCAACCCCTTACTGCTTATCTGTGTATGTGCGACAATCGCCTTTCCGTTCTCTGCACAAGACGCCAGTATTAATTCATTTTTCATGCCTGTTTATCTGGCTCACAATTCGTCCTGCCGATGTGTGTACCCTAGTTGTTGTTCACCGGTTTTTCTGTGTATGACGGTGTACGTATGGTTAGTGCCTTTGTTTAAATCATATGGTTAGTCACCTCGCATCTGGCGTTAATTGCAGCTCGTGGGTTGTATACCGGTTATTGTCCTTTTACATGCTCGTGCAACGGAAGCTAGGGACACCCTAAACTGGTTTAGCACACTGAACTTTGGCTGAAAATCCGTTTTCGTTAAGGGCAAAAGCGTTCATAAGACGCGGAAAACACTCAGTGACAAAGTTGACCAATACGGTAAGTACCTGATGGCCCTAACTCGCCAATGCAGAAGCATTCGTTATTCGCTTTTTGCGTATGCTCAGTTTCTCCCCCAAAGTATATGATTTGGAACACTTGATCTTGTGCATCTATTTAGAATGCATATATCCACACTAGTTCCACAGGGGTGCTTGAGTGGCTCTCTTCCAAATCGGATTTGCCGGTCAACAATAGTGAAACCGCTAGATTTTTGCTATAATAAGGGATCCACGGACTGTACTGAACCGTGCGTGGTGTTGCATGTGAACCCTTGGTTCCGAATTAGTCCCGAGGTAACAAGATCGGTGGGCAAACGCGCAGTGGTTTGGTGCATGCCATCGACCGGCTTTAATATGCTGGTATAATAATAGGCACCGACAACAAAGATGCGTACCTAAACATCATATGCAACTTGTCGTAGTGGTGGTGGTCTTTAATGGAAGCTGCGCCTTTCCCGTGCAAGGGGAAGAGCAGACAGCACATCAGCGTCCTCCCATAGACATATTCTGTGCAGAGGTTGTTCGATGCCGAGCATCTGTGGGAAAAGGTACACTTCGTCTTCGTAATCTTTTTCTCTTGGTATCGCCTGACAGTTGGGTCTGATTTTATTGAGCACAGTTGCGCGCACTTCGTAACCATAGACGGGCAAATAATAGGCGGAGGGGGAGTCTGTCGCCGTTGATTTCACTGACCCTCAGTTTTCATGATTCTTTTGTCAATTCTGCTCCGGTATGTACTATATGCAGTGCAATATCGTTACAATGAACTCGTTGGAACGAGAAACATTTCTTTTTGGAGGAAGACCACTCGTATCAGGTTTATAGCTCATTATCAAAGTGACAATAGTGAACACTCAATGGGATCACCAAACTATCTCAATGTTGTTTGATTTTTGAAAAATGCTCCGAGCAACATTCGGGTATCGGCAGTCCGAAGTAGTAAATCCTAAACTGATTGTAGACAATGCAGTCGAATTAGCGCCTCCTGTCTACGACAGATTGCAGTGTTCTCCGAAGAAAGGCCAGAAAAGCCATTTCCTGCTGGTGTCTCCATCTTGGTGGATTTGATTACCCTAGATGTGTATGTTAAACTCTATTACAATTTCTCCTAATTAAGTAACCGGTGGATAGTCATACTTATATGGGGTATTTTTATCCCCGACTTTTTTATATCAAATACGATTATCGATGGCCATATGCAGAAAAAAACACTTCTGCTTCCACATTACAGGAGATAATTGTACATTACCTTAAGGAACTGAGATCCCGGTACTGGCGACGCATGTGTGGGCTAATAGTGGTTTTGCTGTTTACCCATCCATCTTTTGTCTACTTATCCCCCCCCCCCCTTCATCCGGTCATGATGGTTCCCACTGTGCTGTGCTTTACAAGGCAAAGTACAGTTCGTGTAAACACGGGAGAACTCTACCAAAAGTTCCACCTTGAACGGCGAACAGGATTTCTGCTTGCTGACATTTGGTGGTGTCATGACGGTAAGCTATTTTGAGAAGTTTACACAACTGAATGTTGTTATGCGTCAACATGGATTTCTTACTTTATACTTTTATGCAAAGGTACACTATTAGTCTGGATATTCGTGGTCTATTTCATTTAATGTGCATTGCACTTGACTTTTTTGCAGATCTTCAACGATCCCTCTGCAACTTCCTTCCGCTCATCATTCTTATCAATGCTGCAGTGTGCAGATCTCGCTGTTCTAACTCCCGATGTGCAGGTCACCTGTGCTGCCATAAGCCTTGCTGCATACCTTCAGTGTCCACTGGTGGCATCGAAGTCGCAGTACTTCCTTCCAGTTCCCAAACATGGTTGTAAGGTGCCACCACCGAGGTTTATTCCCCTGGATCTCCTCGAAACTACCCCTGTTTGCTTAAGTCCCAAGGTGACAACTCCATGTTTGCTTGCATATGCATCCCATCCAGATGCTGGAGATCTGAGGTACATTCAGCCCTCCCGATACCCTGTTTTAAACGCTTTTCTTTGTGGTATATCCCCTCTGTTTACCCAAGAAGTGACACCTGCAATATTTGTAGGTAACTCCTCTGAAATCCTGACTGAGGAACAGCTTTTATTGTTAATCAAATGGCTCGCTAACGATCATGCAACCTCGAAACAACTCGTGGATGAGTTGTTGTCCAACTGTCCTTGTGAGCGAAAAGCAGAGGTTTCTTCCGAACTGGCCCATCTATTCACTTCACATCTGTTCAATCCTAACACGATTGGACGGCAGCTGGCTTGTCAGTCTGGTTTAACTAAAGATGACACGTGCGATTCATATTTTCTGAACGGGCATTCGCTCATAAGCTTCGATAAATCAATGATTGATTCGACTTACCTTGGAAGTATTTTAGACGGTATAGTATCACATCCGTCTACAGTGAATATAACAGTTGGTTGGCCTACAAGACTTACGACTGCCTATAGACAGGCTAAGTTTCTCAATCCTCTACTGAAAGCACCATATAATCGTGATTGCATCCAACTTTTCGACGACGCTTCAAACTTCTCTCACTCTGTGCACTCAGTTACACGCCCTCTTCGAGTAGCTTGTTGTCGCGTCCTGGTGAGCCTTGAGGACAGTATAAACATGAGACATAAACTGCTTGGTCTGCAGCCAAATCTGATCGAAAGTGTGCGGTGTGCTGGTAGCTTGAAAGTGTATCGGATCCCAATCCATCCTTTGGATTTTGATTTGGAGAGTGAATCAACTGACGAGATTGTTCTAACCTTACTGGATATTCCACGCTCTTTGGACTCATCGGATCCGGACTGGCTAGTCAGTATGGCCGTGTCACTGGCTGTATGGTATCATAAGTACCCGGAACAGGAAAGTCGTGGTAAACCTCCGTTAGATCACTGTCCTTTGGTGTTGGCTGTTGCAGCGTCTGCCGTGGCGACGGTGTGCAATCTTGACCGACTAGATGACGAAATGTGTTTATATTACGGCCGGTTGATCGGTCTGCTCAGAATGGAGTATAACGCCGCAGTTCTACGGTTGGGAACTAACTCCAATGCGCATTATTCACTCACCTCGAAGCAGTTTATGGGTTTGCAGAGAATTTATGACTATCTTCGCCTGTTGGTCTCTTTGGTTGACAGTCTATTTGAAGAGACGCAGAGGTCAAAAGTTTTTCATTTCCTCCCACCGTGGATTATTTTTCCATCAAGTTGTCTTGTTTTGTATTTGACAGCCCTTTTGGAGCTTCAGATCCCATTCATACGACAAGATCATGTCTGCTATTTCTGGCTGCCGAAAATGATCCGCAAGCATCGATCTGATTCCACGCAACTGTCGCGTGCCACGGACTTTTTAATTCGTCTAATCAATCTAGCTACTGCATTGTTAGCCCCCAGCTCCACCTTTCTACATCCCATTTGCCTGGAAGACGTTTCGGTCGACAATCTTACCCTAGCGATTTCATCCACATCCGTTAGCCGCCACTCTGGGCCAGATTCGGAAAGTTCACGCGCCAAATCTGTTGCTGAGAGTGAGTGGGGGGGAAAGCAGAGTCATAGACGGGAACCAATGACGTTCTCCATGCGACCAGTCTCATTGCAAACGGGTCGACACTAGCGTAGCACGAAAACCATTAGCTGAGTCCCCTAATAAGTAGTCCTAGTTTTTCAAACGGAGTTTTTTTTATTCAGTTTTATCGTTTCCTGCATTTCATTTCACTTTCCTGCGTTTGTTGTACTTTCACCATTACAGATAAAGCACCTTTAATTCTGTATTCTAGTGTTTTTGCACAGACAGTTATGGATTTCTACTGCCCATTGAATTTCGCATCGGTTTGGTTGCTCATCTTTCTATAATAAATAATGCTTTTGGGCCAAGCAGATCCTGTTGGTTTCGAGAATGATTGATCCAGTCATACGTTGACAACAGATTTCCCCCAACACTTATGACTGTTGAATGGTATACGAGGAGGCAGAATTAGGCTCGATTCTACTGTCTGGACACATTCCATGTTCAAGGGTTTGGAACTCAAGTTTTCACTCGCTAGATTTCGAATGTCCACACTTGTTTTATAACCGCACGAGGCTGCCCACTGGACTTTTCAGTTACCACTCTATATTTGGATGGGAGACTCTGTACCCGTGTTCGTACATGTATCCTCTGGATCCCCATACACCCATAGGCTTGCTTCTGTGTGATCCATTTAAAGAGAACACGCCATTGACCGTTGCATACCGGAACTCTGATTGGGACGAAATTGCGGTAGAACAGGGGCAGAGGATTTATTTAGCCCTCCCCATCAAAGCTGAATATCCATCCGACCATTAGTTTGACCAGTTACCTGCTTGTAGTAAGAGCCGGATCGGATAAGCTTACCCGGTGATGAAGTTGCAGCACCAGATTGTATCACCTTGACCTACCCCAGCTAAGTCATGTCATTCGGTATTCGATATGTTTGGTGAGGAGGGAAGTTGCGCACGATACTCACAGTTGTAGGATAACTTTCGGAGCCTCTGTGTGTTCCTACACATCCATTTTATGCGTTCACCACAGTTTCTTGTGGAATATGGTGCATACACTCACGAAGACTGAAAGCACTTTGTGCCTAAAGGCACCTTTAGTAGTTGTGGTTCCATAGCTTCACTTCACTTATTTACTTATCTTCAAAATTGTTGCGTTTCCATAGAAAGCTAAATTGAGCCTGCGGGGAATTGCATTTTGTATTCCATCTGAAAAGACATTAATGTGACATCAACGCGATAGGATTTTGATTTCAGATTTCGCAGTTGCACTTCGATTTTGAATCGATTGGTTAAGCTGTGCCAGATTATGATAAAGGCGCGAAGTTGATAGTTTCATTTCAAAAGCATGTGGCTGTACTTTGGAGGAGGCGAATCCTGGATTGGCCCTTGAAATAAGATTGCTTCCTTGCAGTGGCCGCTCACAAACGGCGATTAAAGGCCAGGTCTACATCCATTGAGGAGGAGGTCCAAGAGCACCTTTGGTGCCACAGATAACAGGCTGGTGCCGCGGTGGTTTTCACAAGCGTCCGCGTACCGCTTTTGAAGATGGGGATAACCGTCGACATGTCCTATTCTGCAGGCACTTTCTCTTCGTTCCACATAGCACCAATAAGCTTTGTCACATGGATCACCAGGGATCCTCCGCCTTCTTTGAAGAGAGCTCAATAGAGGCCGTCCGGTCCTGGTGCCTTCTCACGTTTCGTTATAGATTATTCGTATTTCGTTTCTTCTGATGGACGCTTAAAGCTTCCATTCCATTCGGTCATCCGCAGGAGGCCTGCTAAAGTGTCCGCATTGTTCGGTCCGTCCTTCCAGTCAGCATTTTTTAAGTGAATTAATGAGCCACCTGTTACACTTATAGTTCAACTGACCGTTGCTTTCCAATGATCGCACCAAGTGGTATGTGGCATGTTTTCTGATACCTGTGAAGGCCTGAAGGGAAATGAGTTGTCGGGTGTGCTTGCACGATGTTGTGATCGGAGTCAAGTTGTGTACCCGAAAAGGTACGACAGTCTTGAATTATGTGTCTCCACAGGTGGCTGGTGGCCACGTGATCCAACTGGGTTCACGATTGACTTGCGCTCGGTGGTTTCCAGGTTTAATTCGTTCAGCTGTAGCATTCTTTCGGTGTCTAACTGCCATGTCACAAAAAATGCACGAGGGCTGGGATACTGCCAGGTCGCCCAAGCCTGGAGAGAGGAAGTCGGGAGGCAGATGTCGGGTTCGAACCACGGACCTTCCGGTCAGTAAATTCGCGCTGTAACCACTTGGTCCAGGTTACGCAGTGCGAACGATTATGTTGAAAGTCAGTAGTAGCCAGAAACAGTTACTGACCAGCACGTAACTGGTGGAGTCGTCCTCCGTTTTCTGTGTGACAATCATCTCTGAATGATGTGATTACAAGGAGCTCAGACGACTGACTTGGGCATTCAAATCTCCTGCAAGGATCATTGTCAGTGCCACCCGGTGCCGATGACCTAATGGTCATCACCGACAGCATGACATCAGTGTTCAACAGCGATACTTCACTGCCACACAACCGTGACTTTTTTGAAAGCCTTATTGTAAAGAAAATAGTAAAGTTGGACATGGGAGGGACTTAGTGCTAGTTAACCACAATCATTCCGAGGTGCCTATACCTCCAGACATTCACTCAGGGGATCTGAATGGAAACTGACAATAAGAACGTCACTAACGTCGGTTGGCAGCCATATCTTGTAGTGTCTCCAACCAGGCACAGTGAAGATCACACCGTCCCCATCCTGGAAGGCGAGTAGCACCGACAGCACCCAAGCGTTTCGTAATCTCCTTCATACTCTGCCAAGTCAAGGGTTGGCCATCTCGCGAGCCTCGTGTGACAAGTGACTCGGTGATGGACGAATTCCAGGTATGTATATCCTCCAAGTAAGCCTGTTGTGAGAATCTTTGAAGTCCGCTGGGCACCAGAGTATCACTCCAGTGCTCTTTGCATCACCCACTCAATTACATATCACATTATAAGGGGCTTGCGTGACTCACACCAGAAACTTGTTTAAACTGTATGGTTTTCTCCACCGTAAACTTGAACTCGAACTTCCGTTGGCGAGTAGTATGCTTCGCAGAAGGCAGTTTGTTCGCCTTGCACCTCATCAACATGGGGAGGAATGGTTAGTTATTTGAGAGGGGAAGAGTCAAGCGCTGCTCGAAAATTGAGAATACCGATGGTTTGCTGATGGAATTCCGCTCCATGTCTCAGAATTCTGCCTAAGTTAAAGTCGGGGTGGAAACTACTCGGATTGGATCGTGTTCGAGTATCTTGTATTTTCAAGAAGCGCAGAGGCAATTATCTTAGCGATACTTTATGAAGCTTATTCACTGACAGTTTCTGCATCCCTTTTTTCCACTCTATATAGGGATCAGAACAGCGTATCTATGGCTTTGATCACTGCGGATAGGTAATACTTATAGACCTCAGGAGAATGACATCTCTCCTGGAACTTCTGTTTTTGAAGCAATCGAAAGCCGAACGATCTTTAGACACTTCACAGTCAATGCTGTGAAGCTCCTGTATCGAATTTGTAGGTCTTCTGTCTGGATTTTGAAGTTGTGTAGTGGTCAGCTAAACTATTCCAGTCGCGAACTCTCCTCCGATCGGTCTGATAGTGGCTTTCCACTTTTGCTCCCAGAAGCAGCACAATGCAACCGGAAAATCTAAACAGGGGTACCATTGTCCGAGGGTTTCTCAATGTCTGCAGTCATTTGACTATGGTGAAATACCCTTCTCGTATTGATTGAACCTTATCAGGGTGCGGTCGTTTGCGTCAGTCTTAGATCCATTGAGCTATATTTGAATGAGATCTCACGTTTAGGCACACAGTTTCTCATATGATGGTGAAATGATAAGAAGTTGATTAACACGGTCATCTGGAACCTCAAGTTGGTGATTGAGACGTGCGCTTTACAACAAGAGATACTCCCTAGCGTCATCGGCCATTAGGCTGGTGCCTGCTGCATAAACTAGGGTGGGTAAGCAATGACAAGCTGCAGCCGGCACCCCTCTTACTCTTCCACATATTTCCCTCCCCCCTACGCCACTCATTTGTGAATGCTCGCTGTAGGTCCCGCTCTTAGCAGTGAATGCTTTGCTTTGCAACAAATTGCTTTTTCCTGTTCGCTGTATTCCCCGTACGTCGATGCATGTTATCTGTCGGAAACCTTTGTCACAACGCAAGTTCTGTAATTGAACTGGCAGCTCGTCATCGAACCAACATCAGAATCGTCTTCCTGACGTTCAGACATCAGATATGAACGATCACCGGAGAGCAATCCAGAGCCTCACTTGATAAATGAGCTTCTGTCTGTGGTACAATATGCATTGGATCTCTGACAGGACCGTGACTTCGATGGAGGCCCGACGCCCGGTAGGACTGAATGCACGCGCGGACCGAGAAGCTTTTTGGAGAAGGTCGAATCACTAGGATAAATACTGGAAGTCTCCGGACTTTGTTTCACTTGATTTGTCAGATAGGTCCCTGTAGTAGCTGCTTCGGTGTGTCAGAGAGTTTGCGCGTGTGCGTGTCCGTTCGTCGTTCCACCATCGATCTGACATGTGACTTGAGTGGCTGATTGGATGTGTGTCCGATTGGTTGGCTCGCGTGAGCGCTGTGGGTTGACTGGATATGTGACTCAGCTGTTTTGCTTGCCTGCCATGAAAGCGGACCAGTTTGGCCGCGTGTATCCAATACACCCGTGTCCGTACTTACGCGTTCTTCTGACTTACTGTGAACTACAATACTGGCGAGGGTCTGACGAACCCATCTTACCAAATGTCTACCGGAAAGCTAGAAGAATATACTGCTACTGGAGGTTCCTGGAACCAATATGTGGAACGGGTGAATTGTTACTTTCTTGCTAACGAGATCACCGACGACAAGCGGAAAGTGAGCATACTTCTTACGATTTGTGGTTCGGCGACATACAGTTTGATACGCAGCTTGGTCTCTCCTGATTTCCCAAATACGAAAACTTGACGAGCTTGTGTTTATCGTTTCCAAGCATTACAATCCTAAACCTTCTGTTATCGC